GAGCGGAAGTCGTGGCGGAGGGAGGCGAGGGACTGGTTGAGGTCGACGGAGCGCCGGGTCTTTTGGGGTGAGCCGAGCAACAGACTGCTCAGTGGATCGAGGATCGAGTAGATCTCTGGCCCGGTCCCGCTCGCGCTTCGACTCATCGTGCCCACGGGCTTGAATGCATCAAATGGGTCCGGAATCGATGTGACCATGGCTTCTAAGGTCGGATCTGAGATCGGCTTGGATGCGATCCGATCGTATACTTCGACTTCTGATTTGACCACTAGGCTAATCTTTTGGGTTCGCGTCTTAATACAAGTCAGTCTCTCGATTTGTTTTTCTAAAATAAAGATGGCAGAATGGCAGCTTACATTTTCAGCGACCTTGTTCCAGACTTGTCGTTCACCGTTGGCGACTTGAAGATAGTAAGATTGTTTGAGCGACTCGACCTGTTCGACTTGATCCTGAAGTTCTTTGAGGCCTCTACGAAAGCTATCGAGATCACGAGGTGTATTGCGTGAGTGTCTACTCCCGCCCTGGTTCATGTTCCTGAGTTCGGTCTCTCTGATCGCCTTAGTTTTGATGGATAGTAATGACTCATATCGGTTCTGATGCTGGGCTAGTTGTTGTCGATAAGATTCGTAGAGGTTCAAGAGTGGCAGTTCGAATGAGTTTTTGAAGGTATCCGACTTTTTTAAAAAAAAAGGAAGAGAGGTGATTAACGGGATATCCTGCTGAAGTGTTTGGGCAGATGATAGCTTACTTACTAGGACTTGTTCGAGATTGGCAGTCAGGAAATGGAGTCCACTGGCAGCCAGTAGTTTCTCAGCAGGGTTTGAGTTTTGGGATGGAATATCATGCTGGCTTGAATGCGGGGTGAATGGGGAGCTGTTGACCGAGTCTGAAGTGGATTGGAGCTGTTCTTGCTGCTGTTGTTCTTGGAAGATGGCCTGAGTTCCTTTGAGTCTGGCACAGTCTTCTAGTGATTTTGCGAAGGCGGCGGTTGCGTTTGCGAGGCTGATGAGTGCTACTCTGTAGGTCTTGGTGGTGGTGAGTAGGTTGTTGAGTGTGTTGAGTGAGTCCTTGAGGTCAGCCTTGGTTAGGAATGAGTGGTAGTCCTGTTGACTGTACTCTGAGCCCATCCTTGCTTGATCAGGTTGTTGGTTGGTTGGTTGGTTGGTTTTTTTTTTTTTTTTTTTTTTCGCAGTGGGACTGGCAATTGCAACATCAAACATCCAGTACAACATCTACATCTTTTATGACTATGACGACCCACTAACAGATTTACTATTTATTCCCAAACCAACAGCCTTCTTCTCAAAATCACATCCACCATTTATTTTCTCCTGTTGATGCCAGCTCCAATCGAGCTTGCATCCTGCAAACCCCACAAGATCATGCATCACTTCACCATACAACATATCCATCCCACTGCCATCAAACTCACTCTCCTCATCACTAGCAACCTCCACCATCATCTGCTCTCACAGCAGCCAATGCTATCATTAATTACCCTAACCCACCCTGGCTCTAACTGGCAAAGATCAGAAAATCCTGCAGATTGTTAACTTGTAAGTTGCAAGACTGATTATAGTGCTGGGGCCCGCGGGGTACATACACGTCAGCCCAGCCACTTTGAGCTTGCTCGCACGCCAACCTGAGGCCCCAGGGGATAAACCTCACTAGTAAACATATCAGTATACCCCAGCTCAACCCAACACCCTCATTTCAAAGTGAGGCAGTTCTTGGTGAGTGGAAAAAAAGCTTGCTTGTAATTACATGCCTTACATCTACTTGCTGGGGTAATTTTGTTTGGCAAGCAGGGTGCGGGTATTTACAAGGTGCTGACCAAAGAGTCATCCTACCCAGCAATCAGGTAGGTGCATGTCAATCCTTTCAACGAACTGCCAAGGAGAAATCTTTCTCAGGGAAAAAGTCACAAGCTGGTACTCTGCTTGCTGAGAAGGGATTCTCCCTAGCAAACAGGTGCACCTTATAATACCCTCCTAGTAAAGGAAATTCCTTATACAGCTACTCTCAGAGAGCTCACTTGGTGTAGATTTTCCTTCAAGAAGAACCATTGGATCCACCATTCCTACTATATATATTTTACTTGTAATCTAGCTCACCAACACCTAAGAATCAAGGCTTTCAAGTGCATTGAAATCAAACCTCATGAAATTCTAACTTGACTTTTGAAACTAAAATGTCTACCAAGAATTTACTAGAAACTTCTGTTGTAACTATGGCTCCTCTAAGTGCTACTAATATATAGATACATAGTGGTACAACAGTTCTGAAAGAAAACTTGCTTTATGGGATCACTCAAAATCACATTTTTCTTTTATTTCATCACCTCACAGCCTGTACTTGGCCCTGTACAGCCACACTCAATCAGACATTATGGTCCAACCTCCACATGTTTGGGGTTGAGGATTTGGGAGTTGGACCATTGGAATCCTCTCACACTTTTGAGTAGAACCTTATCTTCACCTGGAAGCTTGCTAGCCTGCACCAGTCAACCTGCAGGTGTCTGGAGCCAATGCCTGGGCAGCAAAATCGTTACCTGTACAGTTATGTGTACGGTTTGCAAGGCAAAAAAAAGTAAAATGGAAATAAATTGGTTGTGTTTTTGAGTGGTCCCAGAGAACAAGCTTTTTTGGAAACTGCTGTACATCTTTCATCTTATGTGTAAACAATAGACAGAAAATTGGATTTTGTTATTTTTTTTTCTTGTCAACTTGTTGCTGCCAGATTCAGCTAGGCGGACTTCCTGTTGGATCTGGGACCCTCAGAGATGTTGGTTTAGAGCCAAAAAAAAGTCTAGAATTTCACTGGGAAATCTAGCTTTTGTCAAGGCTCTAAATTGCTTCTGGGAGACCCACAGATATTGAAGGGAAGTCATCCAATAATACTCCAGCAGCTCAGCTATGTCTCAGAATTTGATTTTTTTCTTTTTTTCTTTTCACTATCATTGATCAACAAGAAGATAGCACCAAATTTGACCAAGCTATGTGGATGGCCTGTGAGTCCTGATAAGCAAATTGTCCCACTTAACAAACTCCCTCAAATTGGAGGGGGAACAATGTCCTGCAGGGACCCTCTCTGGTTAGCACAATGTGACAAGTGGTTTACCACTCCAACAAAGGGGGACAGGAACTGAGTTAAGCTAGGCAAATTGTATTGTGGCACACATGGGATGTGAAAAAACCAAATCCTTTGATGAAGAATGGTACATTGCAGAGGGGGGCTTTGACGCCCAGGAGGGAACCTAGGAAAATCAGTGTTTCTTTTTGGCTCTTGTTAGCTTTGCATCCACCTCTTTTGTAAGTTGTGTTGTAACATGGAGGTTACATACCTCTGACTCGCCGCAGCACGGCACCTGAGATGACTCGGTAGAGACCTCCGGGTCATACTCTGTCTGGTTACTACACGGAACTATACGCTTATCACTATCCAGGTTCCAATAGGTTATGAGCCCTTAAAGGACTCTCGCTTATAATTAGAAAAATCATTTTTTTTACCTTTGAAACGACCATAATCCTCGATTCGACCCGTGGATTCCGGCAAAGTTTTCCTATTCGGTGCCGGTCAACTTAGCTTCGTCGCTACGTTGTGGAGTTTTTTTTTTTCATCACTTTCACTCGCGAAGCAACTCAAGATTCGAACCTTGTCGATAAGATTTGGAAAGTCTATAGAGCAAGTATACCGATTACGCTAAATAGATTAGCCACCTATTTATTACGGTTCAGTGGCCCTGAACCGGTGCAGAAAGGTTACGAACTCTACTGATCAACCTCAATCTACAACTCAATTCGGGAACCAGTCACGGCGAACCGGTGAAAAACACTCGCACAACCCTTACTCCATTGGATCTTCATCTCTCCACCCCACTTCTCACTTTCCCCTCACCATTTCCTTTTCCCCTTTCTTTCTTCTTTTCCTCACTACACTCTCTTTTCCCTCAACCTCTCTTTCCTCTCTTCACCACACCCTTCCTCCTATCTCCCACAAATTTTTTTTCTATATCCTACTCTCTCTTCAATTTTTTCCTCTTATTAACACCATGTCTCGGTCCGAAAATGAACGCAACGTCTGGTCTAGATCGTCTTTGGTTAGTGTCGCATCAACAAACGGTTCGGAATATGATTTGGATCCGGCGGACGGATCCCGAAGGATGGGGGCCATTTTCGATGCCGTGCTGGACGGCAGTGACGAGACCCAACTGGCGGATACCACCATAAAAAAGTCAAAAAAAGGCAAACAACCGGTCGATGGTTGTCGGGCTGGAACGCAAGAAGAACATCGTCCGGTACCATCTAGCTCAACCCAATATCATCAGGCGTCTGGCGGACATCACCATGCTCAACAGTACCACCATCACGCGCCTCATCAAGTTCCCCTGTCTGCCGCGGATAAGGAATATCAAGAATTCCAAACGGCAGTGATGCACTCGGCCGCGCCTTTCAAGAAGGACTTCGAACAGCGAGTGGAAAATGATATTCACAACGACCTGACGAAGTCTTTTCCCAAGTTTGAGGCCATAGTGCACAACTACAACATTTGCCAAAAACAATGGCTCGAATACTCGTCTCAACCCGCGGAGACTTTGGGGCCTCAAATGCCGTCGGTCATGCAAGCGTCGACGGACCCTGAAGACTTCGATTTCGATGCGTTCCTCGCTGATGTGCCTGAAGAAACCTGGTCGGAAGCTCTTGAATTCTACGCGGCGACGGCTTTGAAGTGCTGGTAATGCAAGTCACCTGGCCACTACGCCCGGGACTGCCCACAGAGAGCCGGAGGTCATCAAGCACGGAAAGGAAGTGGGTCGACTGGTCCTCATCTTCAAGCGGATTCCCATCGCCAACTGGCAACCTTTGTCGGCTCGCTCTACACCCAACCAGCAAGCCAACCAACAACCACCCGCTCTCCGACTGCCCCCCCTTCTCATTTTCAGGCTCAAGCAAAGCGTCTAGCCGACTTCTACCGACCTCGGTATCAACAGCAAGCTTCCTCTCAACAACAACAGTCACAAAAAGGGGGGGCGTTGGCTCAGGTAATGGAGATTGGGGAAATTCCGGATGATCTTGATGATCTGGACTTTAGGGCGATGACACTAGGAGAGGATATTGTGAGTCCCAATGTTATTTTTGATACTGGGGATTCCCATCACTTCTCTGGCTCCCGTTCTCTTCTCCACAATTTCCGTCACCTTTCTAAACCTTTACCGCTCTCGGTAGCTACCACCGCCGACCAATCCTATATTACCGGAGTGGGGAACCTAAAATTCAGAGGCCCAAATGGCTTTATCATCGTCATTAGAGGGGTACTTTTCTGTGAGCAAGCCAGGTCCAACTTAATCTCTATGGCTGCGCTCCGGAAATCTAAAGCTTCTGTTCTGTATGACAATGACAGGGATGCGTTCGAAATATTCAATGACGCCGGGGATCATGCTTTCAGCTGCCTTCTGGACAAGTCCCAAAATAGATGGTGCTTATCATACCCTTTCTTGCGCAGTGATGGAGGCGAACCAACTCGGGGTGTTTCTGCTTTTGCCTCTTCTGTCAATTTTTCTTGCTATCCCAAAGATGTGGAATCTAACCTTTCATCAAGCATTCCATCTTTTGATTTTCCTGTCTCTTCTGGTCCTTCTGTTTTTCTTCCTTCTTCTTCCAATAAACCAGAAATGAATGCTGCTAAAGCCAAATTTAACAGTGAAGAGTTTTTTAAAGAGCCAGTTGCAAAGATTGAAAATTTCCATTGGAAACCAGAGTCGCTCTCCAAAGATGAGAAACAACTTTTGTTTTGGCATCGGGTTTTTGGCCACGCAGGACTGCGCACCCTACAAAAGCTCATCAAGGAAGGATTAGGCGAAGGACTTCCAAAATCATTACCACACGGGTCTATCCACTGTCCAGTTTGCGCCATTAGTAAGAGCACAGCCATCAATACGCTAAGCTCTACTAAACGTGAAATCAAACGCATGGAGATCCTGGCCGTGGATCTTATTGGACCTTTTGAGGTAGAAGCAGTAGACGGCAGCAAATATCTGCTAACGCTTTGAGATGCAGCATCAGGCTACTGTTTTGTCAAACCAATCAAGTCAAAATCTGACTCAAACAAAGTGATTATGGACACAATTACGCGTCTGGAAAGAATAACAGCAAATAAGGTCAAGCTCCTGCGCAGCAACAACGGTGGCGAGTTCATCAACAAGGCGCTTGGGGATTTTCTCACGACAAGAGGGATCGGCACAGAACGAGCGCTGCCCTATCACCATTATCAAAATGGAATGATTGAACGTTTCAACCGAACAATTCAGGCCATGGGCAGAACTGTTCTTATTGACAGCTCCCTTCCAAAGACGTTCTGGTGCTATGCTTTCCAATGGGCTGGTCACATTCTAAACCGACTCCCTAACAAAGCGAGTGGGAAGGTAACTCCGTATGAAGCTCTTTTTCAAATAAAACCTCACTTTGACCGTTTCTGAGCTTTTGGAAGTTATGCTTATTTTCATATCCCAGTGGAGAACCGTCTGAAATTAGATACTAGAGCGTTGCAAGGCCAGGTCGTGGCACATTTGGAGACGAGCAAGGGATGGATGTTCTGGATCCCCGCAGAACAACGTTTTGTCAACTCCGCACTGGTTCGCTTTGTCGACAACGAACACAGCCATTTCACTAAGGTTGGGAGACTCGGTGATGATTTGGACAACAACTTGGCTGTACCCGCTGAACCAGAAAGTCACATCGACCCGTCTCTCAGTGTGGACGCGAAGAAACTGAGTGTGGACTTTGTTATGAACCTGATGCAGCTTGGGGAATTCTCTAGGGAAATTGAATTCCATGACCAAGAACTGATAGTTGACAAGATTCTTGAGCTTTGTCATTTTTATGCCATCACAGTCCCCAAAACTTTCAAGCAGGCGATGAAATCACCGGAAAAAGACGCTTGGTCAAAGGCGATAGCGGTCGAACTCAACAACTTAGAGCAAATGAGGGTATGGCTTGTCCGCCTGATTCCAACAGACAAGAAGGCACTGAATGGGCGCTGGGTGTTTGCAACCAAACCAGATATCGACGGGTCAGGGGTCAGATTCAAGGCACGTTTTGTGGCGAAAGGGTTTACACAGGTCTCGGGTGTCGACTTCAACGAAACTTTTGCCCCTACGGCAACTTTTGTGGCCCTGCGTGTTCTGCTTAGTATTGCAGCTGCTAACAAATGGCCAGTTCATAGTTTTGATTTTGTTGCAGCTTACTTGAATTCTCCAATCAACGAAGAGGTTTGGGTCAAGCCGCCTGAAGGACTGGAAGTGCCAGCAGGTCATGGTTTATTACTCCAAAAGGCGCTGTATGGGACACGTCAAGCTGCACGATGCTGGTGGCTCCATCTACGGGACGTCCTCAATAAACTCGACTATGTTCCTTCTCAATACGACAATAGCCTTTACATCCTACGGCATCCTCAAGAACACGGTGTAATATGGCTACATGTGGACGACGGTGTGGTCACAGCTTCAAATGAATCTCTTCTGAAAAAGCTGTAAAGTGATCTGAAAGACATCTTAAAAATCAAATGGTCTTCTTCACTTGACTCAATTGTTGGACTAAATGTGGTAAGGACGGATCGTGGATTCCAACTTTATCAAAGGGACTTGATTGATGGTATCTTGGAATCAGAATGGGACGGAGTGTCATTAGCAAAGACTCCCCTGCCAGCTAATTACAATGCTTTGACTGACCCGGAAGAAGATCCTTCCATGACCAGAAAATATCTGTCTGTTATAGGTTCTCTATCTTACTTGGCGGTAGGAACTCGACCCGACATCTGCTATGCCGTGAATCTTCTGGCTAGGTTTGCAGCAAAACCAGGGGAAACCCATTGGAAAGGCGTACGGCACCTAATCAACTACCTGGCTGGTACTAGGAATCTTCGACTATCACTTTTCCCCAAGGTTGACAGCAAACCCCTGAAAACATACTGCGATGCTTCGTGGGGAGGAGAATTCTCAAGGTCGGCCTATGTCATGACAGTTTTCAACTGCCCTGTTCTTTGGGTGGCCCGTAGGCAGCAATCTGTTGCATCTTCGACATGTCATGCTGAATACATGGCTTTAGGTGTGGCAACGAGGCAAACACTCTGGGTTCGACATCTTATCAAAGATGTTCTAAAGCTTGATTTTGTAGGACATTTGCACTGCGACAATCAATCAACTGTCACTACAAGAAATACCCATTTTGCCTCAAAAATAAATGGCAATTTGGGTGGGGGAAAATGGATCAATTTTCTGGAATTTTTTTCCAAAATGCCTCAGGAGTAGAAATTAGGCTAAACTGAGCTATTTGAGCCCAGAGATAGAAATTCATCAAACATTCCAAAATGAATTTTTAGCTCATTTGAGACATTTTTATTTTTTGGCTAAAATAGCTCATTTTAGCCTAATTTTTTACTCCTGAGCAACGCTGGGCCAGCTACGCTAACCGTAGCGGTTAGCGCAGCGTAACGTAGCGGAATTCCACGCAACTTTAGCGTAGCGTAGCGGGATTCCGCCACGACACCACTAACGCTACGCGTGTGGGCCGCAAAAAAGGGCCCACTACGCTGCGCTACAGCGCTTTTTAGCGGTTTTTGGCCGCTTTTTCTGCTAAAAGCGCTGTAGCGCAGCGTAGCGTAGCGAAAAACCGCTACAAAAACGCTAACACTACCGCTTTTGGATGAAAAAAAAGCGCCGCTACGCTACGCTTTTTGGGCCAAAAGCGTAGCGTAGCGTAGCGGCCCACCGCTGTCCTGAGGCATCTTGTAAAAAAGTGCCAGAAAATTGATCAATTTTCCACCATCCAAATTGCCATTTTTCCTTGGGGCAAAATCAGTATTGTTTGTAGTGTGTACGTGTGGCCACGGATGATGCTTCGAATAAACGGACCAGGCATTCGGATAGAGACTTCTACATCACCAATGAGGCCCTTTTCCAGAAAAAGACGACACTAACGTGGGTGGGCACCAGGGAGCAATTGGCGGATGTATTTACCAAATGTTTATCACCAGAACTTTCCAATGATCTGCGTGATAAGATTGTGGGATGCCTGTAATTTTCATATACTTTCATATTTTTTTCTTTTACTGGGTTTTTCCAGATTGATTGGCTCACAATTGTCTTTGTTTCATATTTCAGTTTTCTTGTCTTTTATCTTCTGACTTAACATGTTGTATGTAGTAGGGCGTCTGCGGCAAGAGGGGGGGTGTTGTAACATGGAGGTTACATACCTCTGACTCGCCGCAGCACGGCACCTGAGATGACTCGGAAGAGACCTCCGGGTCATACTCTGTCTGGTTACTACACGGAACTATACACTTATCACTATCCAGGTTCCAATAAGTTGGTGTCTGATGAGTTGCTGTGTGAAACTGTAGACTATCTGATGTGAAGGTTGTTTATTAATTCATTAATGCTCAGGTAAAATATGAGGCAGCTATTATATATCCAACACAATTGTCACGAACAATGCTTGTCCTGGTACGCCATTGCTGTACGGATAATCAACAGCGTTTTGTTTACGATATTTCATTACAAGACTAATTGCTCTTGGAGGGTAAGATGTGCTTGTCTGTATCAGGTGCGTGAGCGGAAGATGCTATGTAGGGGCACAATGATGGAATCGCTCGCATGCTACGGTTATTACCAATTCTAATCATCTTGTTGATATCCAAGATTTCCTCCCCGACATGCCCGTTCACTCACGCTGGTATGCTAGAGGCATCTACTTCATTTGAAACGGAATTATCTATAAAATCTACTCATGTTTATGTCTCTTGTTATTGACAACGCTGTTCAATGTGGCTCAACGGTTCTTGTATAGGGATACGGGCTCTGTTCAAGTTTGATTATATCGGTGCGGGTTCTCTAAGTTGAGTGGGTTGGTCGTAGTAGTCATCAAGATGTGATTGCGAGCAAATTAGAACTAAAAGGTACAAGAACACAGAGTAGAGAAGAACAAGAGAGGGGAGGGCAAGCGATCGGTTCATCAGCATCACACATGAAGGGAGAAGACCAGATGAAAGATGTGGAGGGGGGAGTGGACTGACTCTTAGGGCAGTGAAGAACCATTTGTTTTTTCCACCTTGGTACTTCTCCTCGAACAATTTTTTGACAACCTTCTTGGTTTCTTCCCGTTGAGAAGGCTCCTTGAAAGTTTCGTAAGAGATCAGACCTTTCAGTCCATCCAATTCGATGGCGTATCGAGTGGGCATCATGTGGTTGTAGTTGATGATCTGAGCGACGATTAAAGAAAAGATCAACAATATGAGTACGATTGAGATATCTAGGAATGCGGCTTGTGCGTGATTGGGGACGCACCCGAATGAACGGTTTAACTTTGCTCCGTTTGGCGATCTTCTTGGGACCCATTCCTCGTGTGACCTTTCGGGGATAACGTTCAATGCCGGCAACAACGGCATGGGGGTAGGGTCGCTCCTTCGTTCCCTCGTCGGATTGCTTGATGACGACCACCTTCTTTCCGGCATGTCGGCCGGAAAGGACAACAGCAACCTTTCCTGGTTTGTAGACTAGGTTCAAAATGAGGCAAAAGTTGAATTCATTAGACACTTTGAACCATTCCCATGAGACTTGAGATTGCGTGGGTTGGCTTACTTTTTACCATCTCGAGTGTTGAGTGTCGTTCGGGTCGAAGGGGGCTGGCGGGATGGATGGTCGGATGGCGTCTTGAAGCTGGGAACGGCCGGTACATGCAGCCAGACCTAAACTTTCAGCCTGGCCGAACCCTAGTTAGGTTTCAGATCGTGAGACTCACGCTCGCAGAAGCCCGTGGGGTACCCGAGCCCCGTGAGCCCGGCGCTCGACCCGTGGGTAAATCCTGTAGCTCGGGTACCTTGCCCAGACCCATGGCCCTCGCCGGCCCATGAACAAAACGGCCGGCCGCTACTCAACCAGTTCAATAATAGCCTGGGCGATTTCGAACCCGCTCCTATTATGCCAGCTCCGTTCATCTCAAGTTGCACGTCTGACCAGAACAACGATATCTCCAAGTTGTTCAACTGATCGAATTGAAACATTACATTCCGGTATTCGACCTGAGTCTAGTGCTGACGGTGAAAATTTGTTCATCTTGCATGAGCGAATTGTTAATTGGAAGGTGCCCTTGGTACTCCCAAACCCATCCAGACGAAGTGATGTCTTCATCCAACTTTTCTGGGACTTATTTCGCCTACTGGACCACTCGGTGGTGATGCAATTGATCAACTCAGGTCATAATGATCCAATTCTGAAGTCTATAGTGCCCAAAGGGTACGCATTGGTCAGCCCCATGAGCAGTCATCCGATGAGGGTCTCGGGTTCCAATGCAGCTTAGGGTATCTTACTGAATGGATTGTTCGCAATTGTGCTTGCTGCAGCATTTCAACTTGGGAAAACTGGGCACAAAAAGTGCAGACCACACACTCAAGGAAAGGGATGGGTTGTCCTTAGGTGTAAAAATTGCGATTTTGTTATGATATGCGTATAAATATAGACATATACAAATGAATTTCGGACAATATTGAAATGAAAACTAAAAAAAAAAATGAGACGAGATATATACACCAAACAAAAAATGATAAAGCAGCGGGGGAAGAAGGAACAGAGAATGATGTGGTAGATCAGCTCTTGTGCGCAGGGCTTGAGAAAGTTTGAGTAGATAAAAGGTGAGAGATCAAGGAGAAAAATCAAGAGGAAGAGGCTAATGTTTCGGTGTTTTTGTTATTTAGATATTATGTATGATTTTTTCTTTTCTTTCATTCTTAAAGAACATATTCAATGAATGTTGGTGTCTGTTTCATCTATTTACTTATTGTTAATGTGTGTAATCGGGGACGCTTAAGAGATATCGAAGTCGTCATAGGATCGATCAAAGAGAAACTGGAGTAGTTGCTGAGACAAGGGCACTCGATTGAGCAATGTCGCTCTGCCTTGCTCCCCATATCGGGTCAAGATGACTATATCAAGCTGAAAAAAATGATTAGACAAGATTGATGAGATTTTTTTTTGAAGGGTTAAAAGTTTTTTCAATTTTTTTTTGGTGGGGTTTAGTGGGTTTAGGGTACAAAAAAGGTCGATGCTAACAAAAAATGGCAAACACTAGGTGCCATACAGTCCATGAACACATCTCCAAGATGGATTATAAAGTAAGGAAAGGTAGCTGCGAGCGATTCTTCAATAGCCGAATCTTTCTTCACGAGCGCGAGCGGTGGCCATCAAATGGGCAATCCCACCTGAAGAATGCATGGCGGAGTGGAAACCGAGGTCAGAGTCAACGTAGCCAGCAGCGGCTAGGGCCTGTTGTTGATGTTGTTGCATCATCAAGGCTTCGATCATTTGTTGCTGCTGATAGTAGTGATAGTTGTTCGCTGACGCAGCCGGGACGGGGCTAGGCGAGGTCGGTGGGCGAGTTCCGAGGGTCTTGATAGCTCCAATGGCACGTTTCCTGATGCGAGTAGCAAAGTTCTGGTTGGTGAGCTCAGCTTCGGCAGCGGGGCCACGCGGTTGACGAGTAGGCATGCCACCAGGAACCGATTGGATGCTAGGAGCCGGCAACGGGGTCGAAGATACTCTGTTGCCCTTCGCACTGGGTGGTGACTTGGCTCTCAGGGCACGGTAAACGGCTGCTGCGGATGTAGCCTCAGGGGTTGGCTCAGTGAATGATACAACCTTCTGAGTTGGGGAAGCTTTCGTGAAGACGGCAGGAGCTTCGCTCTCGGGACTGTTGTTGGATCCCGGAACAAAAACCGACGAAAACGGATTGAGCTTGGGGGGTGGAACAGCAGTGACGTTTGAGGTGGCCGGAGCGGCGGGAGCGGGCTTGACGGCGGATGACTTGACGACGTCAGAGAATTTCTTCTTGACGGGCGCGACAGGGGAGTCTTTGGCTTGGGAGTTATCGGTGAGGCTGGAAGGGCTCACGGAGCCCTGCGAAGGAGTGACAACTGATGGGACCCCTTGCGAGTCGGCGGAAGCCTGCTGATTGGTAAGCTTGGGGTAGCCAGGTGCTTTACCAAACAAGGAGTCAGCCGAAGCCAAAAGAGGAAAGGCTTCGTCTGGCTTGGAAACGACGACCGCCGGAGGAGTCATGTTGCTGGATCGCTCAGAGGAGACCGAGGAGAACGATGGGCCGTGACCTAGCTCACGGAGGACATTGTCTTCTTCTTCCACGTTGGGGTAGCATTGCGCATAGAGTGCATCGGCTTCGGCTTGTTGACGACGAGCTAAGGCACGTTCAGCAAGCATTCCACCTTGACCTTGAGTAAAGGTCATGCGACCAGGAGCGGGAGCCTTGTTGGTGGAGTAGAACGTGTTGTGAAGTTGGTGTTGTTGCTCGGCTTGTGCTTGAGCATGAGCTTGATGGGCATGAACTTGGCCAATCATGATTTGTTCCTGTAAACTGTGAAGAACAAACGCAAGTGTCAGTCCCCATTTCATCAGCTGGACAGGAACCACATGAGATGTGGGTGAGGGGTGGAGAGACGAAGAGGAAGGAAGAATGGGACGAACGCCAAGTTTTGCAATCTCATTTGTTCCAGTTGTAAATGCATTTCCAATTGCGCTTGCTGTTGAGCAAACTCGATTTGCTGCTGTTGGTACAAGGCGGTTTGAATTTGTTGCTGATGATACATATTAATGCCCCCAGGACCAAAGCCTTGTTGGGGAGGTGAGCGGCGACGGGCACCAGAGTCGGGGTAGGGCATCGCATTTGGAGAGCGTTGGTTGGTGTTGGGGATGGAGTAGTACAGTTGAGCTGACATTGTCGGGACTGAGCTTGAAGGTTTATCGGATGCAGTTGGTGGGTGACAATCGAGTCAAAAGTAAGAGGGAAGGTGGAAGATGAACAGCAAAAGATGAAAAAATTGGGAAATAAAGATGAAATAGATAGAACTTCTAAAAATGTGTCAGACCAAGTTGAAACAGCAGAATGAGTGTTGGTGGTGAAGATGGGACAGTTTGAACAGCTTGAATTGATATGTTGAGATGAACTAGATAGGTTGAATGCGGGGAGGGAGAGGTAGATAGGACTGGTACAGTTGGTAGTCGGAGTTCAGGACCAAGGGTAGGAGGGGAGGAGGGCTAGACGGGAAAGCTGGTTGAGTAGGACCGAAGAAAAAAAACAAGTGGGGCTGGGAAGGGAAAGAAATATAAGGGATTATGTGTTGGATTAGGAGAGAAGAGAAAAATTTAGAAATCCGAATCGAGCTTCGAGCGTTTGTGGCTGTAGAGGGGGGCGGCGAGATGTATGGGACTTGTGGCGAGTCAAGGAACTTTAAGGATTGACTTGGAGATGTGGAATACGTTCTGCGCTGGGGATCGGTTGTAAGGCTGGGTTGCGAGGACTGAGGGAGACCAACCAAGTTCGGACTAGTTCTCGCGCTAGTGAACTGGACTACCGAGCAATAAAATTCTGCTAGAGTGGTAGCGAAGGCAATAGTAGTCAGATTCGAGCTTGGGGCTGGGAACGGATTCAGTCAGGCAGGCGTTCAAGCCATTCCTGATGAATGAATCCCAACGTGTGGTTTTTTTCCTTCTCCCGAGTATACATAAAAGACAAGCGAAGATGAACGTCGATGTCAAGTTAAACTTACCTTGAGGCAACCAAACGAAAAGAGGTCAATGGAGGCCGAAGGCTGTTGATTGGTTGCAGTTGTTAAGCTGGAAGGGATCAAACCAAGGGTTGAGAATACTGATGCGAAGCGAAAGGCGACTGATTTCGATTTTTTTTTCAGTAATTAATTGGTCGAGAGCGGTGGGGCCGAAAGAAACGATAAGGAAAATAAGTTGGTGTGGGGCGGAGACTGAGAACGGGGATATTTTGTTTTCTGTCGTAGTCGTGGAGGTCTTGAATAATAATAAAAAGAAAAGGTATGAATCAGAGTTTTAGTTTAGTGCCTGCTTTGCTTACGCTATGAGGAGCGAGGGGATTAGTAGACAAGGAGTCAATTGTTATTGTTCGAAAGGTCTAGCCTAGAAGAAGCGGAAAGGGCATACAAGGTTAGGATATGGAGCACAATGAGTAACGTATCGTTGGAAAGACTGATAAGAGGTCGTTTCACAGGCGATTGGATCAACTGAAAAGAATATAAAGGAAAGACTCCGGTAAAGGAGGGAATTTTTTGTTGGTTTACTGTTTTTTTGTATGTTTTTTTGGCTGGAGGAAGAAGATCGATCGATTGGTCTGGTAAATAAAACGGAGTATATGTATAGAAATTACAAGTACTACGTGACAAAAGTGCCTGGGGTTTGTCTTGGATAATAAGAATATTCTGAAGGAATCTGTACTTCGATAGGAATTTTTTTCTTGCTTCGTCTTTTATATTTATTTTCTATTTTTTGGGTTTTTTTTTTAAATTGGTTTGGGTTGGATTCGATGTCTGTATATGTACTACTGGTCTAAAAAATATCGATCGATTGATGGATGAGCGTTTGAGGAGAAGAAAAAGCCCGGGTTGAGTGGATAGTGGATGGATGGGCGGAGTCTGAGTCTTGAGACGAGGGGTTGGCGGGACTCGGGAGAACGGGCGGGCACTTATAAAGAGGGGAAGGGGAAGAGACAGGTTAGGGAATGAGATCATATCTCACCCTCACCAGAAAAAAACAAGGGATTTCAAATGTGGAATTTTAATGTAAAATAAGCGCCTGAGAAAACCATACAAAACTGTCCTGACGTACAGGCTATGTACAAGAGTAGAGTGTGCCAGCCAGGCAGAAAACAAGTCAACAAGAATTGGACATGTACTTCGCATGTGTTTATGTAAAAAAGACCACATATATGCCCTGCGGTGTAGATAGAAATTCAAAACAGGACCAAACCAAACAATTGAAGGGGGAAGCTGAGGGAAGTGTGGTACAGTGTTTATATACAGCAGTAAGGTATGTAGATAACTGTGTATCTATTTACTCGACTTCCTGTATAAGGATCACTGATGAAACTGGAGAAAAAGAGCGGGAAGAGGGAAGAGGAAAAGAACGGGGCAGAAAACAAAAATTATGTAAAGTGACTCCATTGATGACCGGGGCCACTGCCGGCGGTGCGGATGTGTCAATATGTGAGCTGAGCGGGCAGGCCGAGAGTTCCCAACCCAACAATTCCCAAGCTCAGACTTTTCTGTCCGCAACCAAAAAATACGCACCCTTCACATCACTCAACCAAATAATCAACCACCCCTCCCCCTACCACAGAAAAGTTCTTTCCCACCCCTTCCCCGGAGCAGCTATGCTCCCCACTCCTCGCCCCCCCGACCCAACTAACCATGCCGACGCGTCGAATTCTGCCGACGCTGTAATGTTGGACGATGTCGAGATCCCCCTCCCGCCGAAACCGTCCGACCAACCCCCCTCGTCCAGCCTACACATCCTCCTTTCGACGGCCTTGGGTGAAAACGCGCCACGGGACGCGTCCGGCTCTGTCGTCCTTGATCAGAAATTTGTCAAGCTGATTCTCGATCTCTCGGCCAATAACGAGAGGATGATCCGTCGATTGGAAACCACTGTGGACCAACTCAACGCCAAGGTCGACCCCCTCACGGAGAAGATGGCCAAACTCGACTACCTCCTTCGTCCCGATGCCACTCCCATCAAGAACGCGAAGAAGTCCTTCGCGTCAGCAGCCGCCACCTCCATCCACGGATCGATTCACGCGCCCACCATGCGCCCTCCCCCCAATCAGACTATTGCGGCTTTGAAACCCAAGAGGGTGATTATTCACTCTAATCCGACGAACACCACCCTCAAGGACGTCCCGAGTGGTGCTTTGGTCCAGAAGGCAAATGAGGCACTCGTCAAGCTTGACGCGCGTGTTGAAGGAGAAATTGTAGCGATCCGAGGAGCTAGCGTTCTCCCCTCAGGCGATGTGTCATTCTACACCAGGAACCGAAGCCATCAAAAGTGGCTCATGAACAACAAGCACGTCTGGTCTAAAGAAGTGCATCCCGATCTCGAAGCCACACCGAGCACTTACTCCGTGATGGCCCATGGCATCCCAAAATCCTTTGACATCAGCAAGCCAGCCAACTTGGCCAAACTCGCGTCGGAAAATAACTTTCAAGCCACCGAACTAGTCCGCGTCCGCTGGATGGGTTCCAATGAACCGTCTGCCAAGAAGGCAGGTTCCTTAGTGCTTTCTTTTGCGACTAAAGACCTGGCTAATGTTATCGAGAAGTCAGGCATCTTCCTCAACTACGACTTTCACCGCACGGAGCGCTTCAAGCCCCTTCCCCCTCAATGTTTCAAGTGCCTCAAGATGGGTCATTTTGGGAAATGGTGTCGGGAGAAGGCTAGATGTGCCAAATGTGCCAGCAACAACTCAACCAATGAATGTCCTGAAGGCATTGGTGGTGTCAAAACCTGCGTACTGTGCAAGGAAGGCCTCAAGAACAAGATCGAAGGCGTCCGCGACGTCGATCACACTCCATTTGACATGGCCTGCCCCTTCAAGAAGGCATGGTTTGAGAAGAAAACTTTGTCTCCTCAATGTTAGCTACAACCAACGCAACCCCTGTCCCCATCCAACCCACTCAACCACATGAACCACATGATCACATCACATCTTTTATCCAAGACTCAATCCCATCTTCTCAATTCACCTCTGAAAGCCCAAAGTCCTCCTCAGTGCTTCAACTCAACTGCCACGTCTCAAAGACCGTAACGCTAAGTCTACTCAACTCGTCTCTCTCCTTTAATTTTCTTTTACTTCAGGAACCATGGGTGAACCCCATTGACTTGTGCCCTCCCAAACATGCAGCATGGAGAGCCTACACCGCGTACGAACACGTGCCGACGATATGGCGTGAGCGCCATAAAGCCGTCATATACGTCAGGCGATCAATCCCTTCAGAAGCAGTCCGACTCCTGGAAGGCGGCTCCCAGACGCTGGTTGGTGTGGAAATCACCCTGCAGGCGGGGAAAGCTTTCCGCTTTCTGAATGTTTACAATCCTCCTCCCTCCTTCCCCGCTGTCCAAGAATTAAAGAGCTGGCTGACTCACTTCTACTCCCGACAGCACCCAATGGTCATCTTCATGGACGCCAACCTACATCACCGCCATTGGAACCCCCCCGGGTGCAGATTGGGAGAGAAAGAGGCGGCAGACATGCTAAGTTTTCTTTCTTCTTTTGGCTTTTGTTTGGCTTCCCCCAAACACATCCCAACATTCTTCTCCGCAAAAGGCAAAGGAACCACTATTGATCTGGTTTGGGCCAATTTTCTAGGTTCCAAAATTATTGTCAAAACCCAAATCTCTGAAGATAATTTTGGCTCAGATCATCAGGCGATTCATGTGCAATTATCGATTTGTGGCCCGGAACCTCGCTTCCACTGGCGCCTACCCGACTGGGCATCAATCAGACAGGATCGCATCAAACAAACATCAGCTGAGTTATCGTCTTCTCTGGAAGGTTGTGACTCAGACCCTAGCCGCCTCGCCAATCAACTCACTGCCTCTCTTCAACGTGCTCAAGAATCTTTAGGCCGTCGGGTGCGATCAGATGCAGCCAAGGCAAAGCCATGGTGGTGCAAGGCCACCCTGGATCCGGTTTTGCGAACCCGCAACCGTGCACGCCGGTGGATGTTATTAGCTAAGTCTCCTGAGGCTTGTGAGTGTTATCGCCAGTGGAATAGCTACTTCCTATCCCTTGTTCATTCCCTAAAGCAACGCAGCTGGAGGCGACTCCTTGAAAACCCCTCGGAGGAAGATCTCTACAGGGTCCTGCGCTTCACCAGCAAAGCTGCAGGCGGCGAGGTTTTACCCCTGAAGGCCCAAGATGGATCCATTGTACACGATAAATCCCAGCAAGCTAAGCTGCTCTTTGATGGGACCTCAGACACCAACGTCCCCATCGACCTAGCTGATGTCAGCTTTGATCCAGCCGTACGTTTTGTTAGCTACCCACCTGTTGTGGAGGCTGAGGTTCTGAACGCCATAGGACGTATAAGCCCAAAGAAGGCCCCTGGAATGGATGGAATAGCCAACGAAACCATTAAGTTCTTTTCCGATAACATTGCTGGCCCATTGACTACACTCTTCAATGTGATTCTAACCCAGAGCTCATTCCCATCTTCATGGAAGGTGGCCGTCACAGCAATCATCCGCAAACATGGCAAGCCTGATTACACCAACCCCACGGCGTATAGACCCATAGCCTTGTTAAGTACACCAAGCAAGCTTTTTGAGCTGATTCTAGCACAACGGATCTCAACCTGGGCAGAAGAGTCAGGTGTCCTGGCAGAAGGACATTTTGGTGGTAGGAAAGGGTCCGGTACAGAGGATGCCTTGTTTGCTTTCGAACACTGGGTTAAGGCCAAGTGGAAGGAAGGAAAAGTAGTGGCAGGCCTGTTTTTGGACGTAAAGTCCGCGTATCCATCTGTCCACCCAGCCCGTCTCATCCAATATCTCTTTGACACAAAGTGCCCGACGTATTTAATCCTGATTATTTCTGACTTTCTCAGAGACAGGTCAACAACGATTCGGCTGGATGACTTTACGTCTACGGCGTTTCCCATTGAGATAGGCCTGCTGCAAGGCTCTCCACTCTCTGTCATTCTCTACATTCTATACAACAATGCGCTACTAAACAAATGCTTATCAGTCTCTGTAGATACAATCTCAATTGGTTATGTGGACGATGTCGTCCACCTAGTGGCTGCCAAGTCTGCTGACGACGCAAGGGCTCTATTGATTTTGGAAGGACAACGTTCGCTTCAATGGGGGGATTCCCATGGGGCAATTTTCGACCAAGCCAAAGCTCAATTTCTCTGGCTGACAAAGGGAAACCGCCCTTGGGTGGTCTCTCTTTTGGATCCCAAATCTTAACCCCGGCAACTGAAGTCAAGTGGTTGGGCATTTGGATTGATCAGAAGCTCCTTTTCAACAAGAACTTCAAAGCCTTGGAAGACAAAGCTAGCAAGACGATCAATCAACTCAGAATTTTCGGCAATTCTAGGTGGGGAGCAAAAGAGTCTGACAGGGTCAAGCTAATCCGTAGTGTGCTCTTTCCCAGACTTACATATGGTGCCGCAATTTGGGCTACTGAACCCAACAGAGGCAAATTCACTGCACTTGCGGAGAAAGCCGACCGACTGGCCGGTATTTTTGCGTTAGGGGTGTTCAAATCGACGGCGACCGCTTTCATCCGATCGAGGTCACCTATACCCAGCCTTTATGATAATATCATTAGGACAAGTTTTTCCTTTTTCTATAGGAAAACTGTTTTCATCAAGGCTAACAACAATGTCAGATCTTTCATCTTATCTAGTAGGGCCGATTCCTCTCGACGCTTCGCGGATGCTGCCCAGGTGGGGCTGGCTACCCAAAGGATCAGTGACGCACTTAGCTTGGAGCCGGAACAGATACGCATCCCAATGGGGTTCCAGCCAGCCACAACTCGCGCTGTCAGTTACGTCAATGAAAACTTAAGCAAGGCAGCGGCAATCACATCTGTTAAGTCCATCATCTCTTGTCATTCCACGGATCCACGGTCCCTTTTAATCTTCAGTGATGGCTCATTCCATCCGGGAAAGGGGGGGGCGGGTGCAGCCATTTGCCCAAGTGAGAGGGTCTTC